AGCAAGTCCCTGCTGACGAAGTTTGGACACACACACACACATGTGCGTGCACGTTTCACGTGAAGACACACGCACAGGGAGATCGCCCCATGAGGTCAGAGGCAGAGCCCGGAGTGACGCATCTACGAGCCGGGGGTCGCCGTACCCACCAGAGCTACAAGAAGGCGAGGAAGGATTCTTTCTCTGTAGGTTTCGGAGGGAGCAAGTCCCTGCTGACACCTTGACTTCAGACTTCTAGTCACCAGCACTGCGGGATGATAAATTTTGGTTGTTTTAAGCCACTTAGTGTGGAGTACTTTGTTACACAACCCTGCAACCCTAGGAAACTAATGCAGTACTCAGTAAACGTTGAGGAATGTATGTCTTCATGCGCAAAACACAGAGTATCCTTGATAGTCTGGCCTCTGGACCCTTATTCTTTCTTTCTACTCATTGTCTCTTTGCTGATCATCCAGTTCAGATTGCTGACTGATTTTGTGCTACTTTATTATAAAAGAACCTTTGCTCGTTATGGGAGAAAGTGCTTACATAGACCACACTGAAAAGAACGATGAGTTTCGCCATTAAGTATTTCTGTGTCTCTCAGTAGGGAGGGATGGGCTGACATTTATTTTTAGCAGCAGGGTGATTCCTGGTGCCCTGGGAGGGCATTGCACCCTTCCTTCTTCTTTCAGCTGGCAAGAAGCAGAACCAAATCTGCGGCTTTAAAAATAAGGATTTGTACGCTCTTGCAGAACAGGAGCCCGGGCCCGTGGGGGAGAGCAGGCTCTGGGTGTGTTAATTTGGTGGCTCAGCAAGGTGACTGGGGCCCAGGCACTTTCTGCCTTTTGCCATAGGATAGGCTTCGTCCTAAGGCATGTGTCCCCAAGGCCATACTGATGGCCAGCTGCAGCCACTGGGCAGCCTAGTTCATGTCCACATCCTGTGGGGTCCTTCTTGAGATCAGGGAAATCGTCCCGAGTCCTCCCCAGCAACCTTTTCCCCATGTCGGTCCCATCCGTGAACCAGCCACTGCCACAGGGGATGAAATTAGATCATTGGCCCAGACTGACCATCCGAGGATGAATGGATGCTGGAGATTGAACCACAGTGCCCTCCGTACTCTCCAAATTAGCCATTCCTGTGCATCTTTGGTAGGCAGAATAATGATCCCCAAACATACTCATGTCCTCATCCATGGAACCTGTGAATATGGTACCTCACGTGGCAAAGGGACTTTGCAGATGTGATTCAGTTAAGAATGTTGAGTCGGAGAGATGATACTGGTGGGTCCTGTACAGCCACAGGGTTCTTATAAGAAGCGGGGAGGATCAGAGTCAGAGAAAAAAGATGTGAGGTCAGAAGCAGAGGTCAAGGAAGAGAAAAGATGCTACATTGCTGGCCTTGTGGATGGAGGAAGGGGCCACGAGCCAAGGAATGTAGGCAGCCCCTAGAAGCCAGAAAAGGCAAGGGAACTGAGTCCTCCCCTAGAGCCTTGAGAAGGAACGGAGCCTTTCCAAACCTTGATTTCAGCCTGATGAAACTGATTCGGGACTTCTGACTTCCATAACTGTAAAATAATAAATATGTGTTTCTTTAAGCCACCGAATCAATTACAGTCACCATGGTTCTCTAGGCCGACCTTGAGTCAGTATAGACCTTTTCTAGTGTAATAAGAAATTGTGAATCTTCTATAGTGTGTACTTAGAAGATACACAGTTATTTATGGATTAAACAAAAGATAAACTCATTCCCCTGGGCCTGCCTCTGGGTAGAGCTGGCCTGGTGGTTTGCTCTCAAAATGGTAAGTATCAGTCCCTTCGTCCGGCGCTCATGCTGGGCGCAGGGCATACAGAATCAGGCAAGATCTTGTCCTCACTCACAAGCCGCCGAGTGTCTCAATCAGCCATTTGATTTCCATAAATATTCTCGCTGTCAGTTCGGAGCTCTTCCAGATGTCTGCTCTGTCTTTGTAGCCAAAGCCAGTTTCCTCTGAAGCTTTTTCAGACCTGCTGATTTTTTTTTTTTTTTTTAAGTTTTGGCAAGGGTCAGGAAGAGCATAAGACGTCGTTCAGCACATCCACAGAGAGAGAGAGAGAGAGAGAGCTATTTTTAGGTGCCCCATGTTGCCCAGATCAGCAGTAATTCTAACGGATGGGTCCCGGGGTCCGTGGAGGATGTCATCTGCCTGTCTCCTGCCCTCATGCCCAGCTGGACAGACACACTGCTGTTTGGTCGTTTTCTTTGCGGTTCTTTGTTTCCTCTCTCTCACGGCTTCCTGTGCTGCAGAAGCACAGTGTGGAGCACACGCAGCCTGTTTGGAAACTGCTCGTTATCATTCCACAGTTCTGAGAAGCATGGGCCTTCTGGGGATGATAAATGACCCGTGGCCATCTGTGGAAAATACCCAGGAAAGTAACAGAAATGAGGGAGCAGAGAGATAGGATGAGGCAACTGAGCTTCGAGGCGTTCTATGCCAGCCATAGAATCCTTTCTGGAGGAAACTGAGGCAGAGATCATCAGTGAAGCAGCTTTCCATCACTTAGCTCTCTGTAGTCACTTAGCAGGGGCCAGAGCTCAATATCCTGGTACCAGTTTGACGGTCGTAGGCTAAGAACCAAAATCTGAGAGGTGGGCTGTAAAGCCCTGACACCCTAATAGTTTAGCAGAGTGTTCTAGGCTCTTGGCTCTGTCCCCGCCCATCTCCCCTTGTCTGTAATGAGTGCCACATGCTGAATGGTTAAATGCATAAGACCCTGGAGGTTCAGCCCGGGGCAGAATCCTACCTACTAGCAATGAGACCTTGAACAAGTTACATAAGGAACTTTTCCTTTCTATAAAATGGGAATTATGATAGTACCAGCACAACCGGGAGTTGCGAGGATTAATGGAATTCATGCATTTATTCCAAGGCCCCTGCATGTCCTAGGCTCTATACAAATGACTCACCGTCCCATGACCCTAATACACCACTCTGCAGCCTTTTAGGTGACTGCGTGCTATTCCGTTGTGTGGCTGTGTTGCATGTGTCTTTAACCCAGTCTCTATAATGAGATATTTTCATTTCCAGTTTTTACCATTGTAAACAACATTTTCACGACTAGCCTCATAGGTAAGGATTTGCTCTCATCCTTAATTCTTTCCTCAGGTTAAATTTCTAGGAGTAGAATTGCTGGGTCAAGGAGGAGTCGTGTTTTTAAGACTTTTCCTGATAGATGCCGCCTAATTTTCCTCAAGAAGAGTACCAATTTACCATTCCTTCCAGCAGTGAATGAGTGTGCGTTTCCTTGCATGGCCGTGTTATTAACTTTTAATCAAATGAAAGCCCAGGAGAAATAGAAGCTCTTTCCGCTGGGATAAAATATTCCTCATCCTTGCTTGGAAGGCAGTAAAAGTTTAAGAGAATCTGACGGGAAGCGGGGAAGGTGAGCCGCTCGTGTGGGAACAGCGCCCTCTACTGGTTTTCCCTGGCGGAGAGGTGTGAGCGGCGGCAGTTGGCTGTGCTGAGGTGGTCAGTCAGCTCACGCCTGAGTGGCTGCAGGTGCCAGAGCTAAAGGGCAGCATTTTTTCAGACTTCTCGCCATTTAAACAGCCTCAGATGACTTTTAGTTCCTGCTCAGTTTCTTGTCAGCAGGGCTTCTTAACTGGGGCGGGGTAGGGCTTGCGTTCATTCTCCAGAGAACACATTTCGGATGTCACAAACTGGGGGGCTGCTACTGACCTCTAGTCGGCAGAGGCCGGGGATTCTGCTAAATGTTGTAGGATGCACAGGACAGCCCCCCAGCAAAGAGTCATTCAGCTCACACATCAGGAGTGTTAAGGTTGAGTTAACCTTCTTTTGGAGGAATGGGAGAGAAGCTCTGAAAAGGCTTCTCTTTTCAGACTAAAATAAAATGTAGAAATATTAACATATATTATATATCGCCATCATTAGTACATGTTTTGGCCCCGGAAACCTGTTAGTTTTGCAGAATAAGATAGAAAACCGCTGGAGCTGAAACCACACATCTGCATCTCTAGGAGAGAAGGCTGGAGGGAACACACGGCCCCTAATAATGTCGCCAGCCCTGGGGGAGGGGGTGGTCATTTTTCTCCTGTCGACTTGGGTAAACCTGCCATAAATTCCTGCGGCTTTCCCTTGAAGGCCTCCTCTTTTAAAAAACAGAGCTTTATTTGATACTTTCCCCCCCGATTTCATGAACCTAGTGTTTTCATAACATTTATAGTTGTGCTGTCCGGCACTCAGTACAGAATTGCCATCTGTGGTTGCAATTTGTCCCCCGTCCCCTGCGCCCAAGTAAATGCTGATTCAAGCATGGTTTCTAAGATGGGGAAGGAAGGGAGCTTCAAAAATAATCTTAGAAAAGGGTGTGCCCGAAGGGACAAGTATGACAAGAATTTGGGGAAAGTCAGACTGTATTGCAGTTTGTTTTAATATTTGCTGAGTTTATGAACCTCTTTCACTGGTGTTACTTAAACCCATTAAAAATACTCTCTTGCTTCATTTTGCTTTAGCCTTCCTGGTCTCCGAAATACCTGTATGTGTTTTGAAATATTTAGCTGAAGTGCCTTTGTTAACCATTCTAAATAGCTAAGAGGATTATTTTGCCAGAAGACAGGGGGAAAAAAAAAAGACAACTATAGCTTTTCTCTAAATATCAGGTACTATTTTGATTATCTTCCTTGGAAAGTATTTTCCAGACTGCAGGTCATTGACCCATTAGTGGGTTGTAAAATCAATTTCGTGGTCACACTCATCATTTAAAAAAAATTAGAATAGAAAATATTACAGGGTATTATATATAGTAAAGGTAACTTTTGTTTAAGTGATTAAATAAGCATATGTTGCCATACGTATGAATCTACATGCACGTGTGTGGGCATGGTGAGACGCCTCAGATAGTAGCTGAGGTTTCACACGTGGTGAAGTCTGGCTTGCTTTTAAATCCTTTCATTCCCTTAAATATTTCAGTGATTCTGACTTGTCTGCCACCCTCAGCTTTGTCTCTGTTGCTTTTCAGGTGGCACGAGGGAGATTGGCTCTGCCCTCACCAGGATGTGCATGAGGCACAGGAGCATCGAAGCCAAGCTGCGGCAGTTTTCGAGGTGAGGAGCATATTCCACCCAGATCTCAGACTCCCTAGCCGAAGTCCAGCTGAGTGGAGGAAGCAGTGCTGTGTGGCACACGCAGTGTAACTCGCCATACCTGGCACTGGTTTCCTGTCTAAATCCCCACAACCCATCTGTCGTCATAGCCCACTACTGCTCCCTCAGCGAACAGGTGTTTGTTGGGCATCTGCTATGTGCCAGGCACTGGTCTGGGCTCTGGGGATACAGCGGGCCACCGGACAGCCTGAGGCCCTGCCCTCACAGAGCCCGCACCCGCTTCAGGACCCCTCTGCGTGCCTGTGTCTGCCTCCTTGCCCTCCGTCAGCGGCAGGCCAGTGCCTTCTGCCGAGGCCTTCGGGCCCCGGTGCCCTGGAGCAGCTGCAGTACTGGGCGTGGGCTGTGCTCTGCTGTCCTGCTCCCGGCGTGCTGCCTGCAGACCCACCAGGAAGGCGCTGGGCGCTCGTAGAGCCCTCCACACTGCCAGCCTCCAGTCTGCTGACCCAGCCTCCAGAGTGGGCAGAAAGGGTAGTGGCTGGCACGGGGAGAGCCACCAGTGTTCCCGTGATAATGGACGTTCTTCCAAGCAGATCAGCATAATTCAGCTGTTTCACACCATTCTGCTGCTGAAGTGAAATGCCTCTGGCGCTCCTGGCAGGGCCGTCACGGGAGGCACGTAGTGGGAGGGGACAGAACATAGCAGGAGTCAGCCAGGCCTGGGTTCGGATCTTTCTGCTGTGCAGCCGGAAGGTGACCCCACCCGTCTGCATCCTTGCTTGTTAATACGAGCACTGGAATATAAACAGGGACATGAGAAGAGAGGTCACTTCAACCAGTCACGTTTCTGGCTTCTTAACAGTCATTGAAACACATCTTGAAAACAAGGTCGTTACAAAATCAGGGGATTTGGAAGTGAGCTTGGGCTTAGTATGCTGCCTTATCTTGCTTCAGGTAATCGCGATGTAGGTATGTTTTGACAACCAAATGTAAATCTTGTCAACAGAATGTATCTGTTTAATTTTTCCTTTTCTTTCTCTTTTTGGTAAAAGTGCTTTAATCGATTGCCTGATAAACCCACTTCAAGAACAGATGGAAGAATGGAAAAAAGTGGCCAACCAGCTGGATAAAGACCACGCGAAAGGTACAAGGGCAGGCCGTCCGATGTGTAGCGGCGCTTCGAGAGGCTGCCCAGTGCCGCCGCTGGGTTTACTTGTGTCACCCAAGGGCCCACTGTGTCCCTGCGTCGTCTCCTGTAAGCGTTTCGGTGTCTGAGGATAAGGAGTCGAAAGTGATTTCGTGGCAGGATTCAGTGCTGGTGTTCTGGCGTGAAACCTCACTCAGCAGCTGATAGCCTGATGGTTCAATGGGCATTGGTTTTGACCAGCTGAATTAAAATGGGATTGTAATACCAGGCTTAACTGCCAAAGATTCATACTTAAGCCATTTCAGTACTTTTCGAAAACGAAACCTTTAATGATATGAGCGAACCTTGGGTCTCCTTGCCCAGAAATGGCCATTCTCTCTGCATATGCCTTGAACCGATGAGTCTCAGTACCTCATGTGCCACGCTCTGGGGACAGAATGGTCCAGACAGACACCACCCCTTGTTGGTTTTCCTGGCGCCAAAGGTTGGGGGTGCTGGCCATGGCTCCAAGGACCATACAACCCAGTAAGCGCTGGGGAGGGCCAGCATGAGGGCAGATCCGAGTGGATAAAACTGGCAAGAAAGGGTCAGCCGACTTGCGTTTCCAGGAGCGGAGCAGATGAGTGAGAGCTCTGTAGGCTGAGGGCGGTGGGGGAGACGTAGGGAATACCTGTGAGCGAACTGGTCGAGCTGGCCACTAAGCGAACACGAGGGCCGCAGAGGGAGAAATGCCGGAGGTGACTGTCGTGTTAGGTGTCCACGTCTGGATGATGGAGGTAACAGTGGAAATGGGGACGTCGCGGTCAGAGGAAGTGGTTGGCGGAGACGGGGTGGGGACGTGGTGGGCGGGGGCGGCCCCTCCTTGGCGTCCACAGTGTCCAGCCCCAGCGTTAACGTGCGCCAGCGGCCGCGCTCTGCCAGGTCCCCCCATGCTGTGGCTGCGGTGTTCTCCCTTGAGTTTTACATCCGTCCAGTGTCTGCCACGTGGGTCCTTTTTAAGGAGATTTGGGCTTTGGGAAAGTAGATAACGTAGAAAATATTTCCTCATACTTGAGCTGAGAAATTGTGAATTTTTCATTTTTAGTGAAATATTCCCAAATAACGACTTTCCTCAAAGCCGGTATAAACGAATGCCATATGGAAAGGCCACACTGCATTTTGTCGCTTTTCATGTTACTCTCACCCCTGCTCTAAAATGTCTTCGTGCCATTTTCATCAGGATAGTCCCATAAAGCTACTTACTATGTGTCACAGTTCATGCTTTCTGTGATGAAAGTGCTGGCTGTTCCAGAAATACTTTCTGTTGAGCAAAGTGGTAAAACGAGTCAATCTTCTGCTTCCTCCTAGAATATAAAAAAGCTCGCCAAGAAATAAAAAAGAAGTCCTCGGATACCCTGAAACTGCAGAAGAAAGCAAAAAAAGGTAACTCTGCGGATTCTGCGGTTAATAGTGTTCCCTTGGGACAATGAGCACGTGCTTGATTTGTCTTTGAAGCAGAAAGTGTTCGATTCGCACTTTCTTCTGTGTGATGGCCCTGGAGGACAGATGGGAACGAGTAGAATCCATCTGAATTGAAGTTCTCAAGTGCAAACTATCTATTAATTTGAGGCCCTTGCAAAGTTGCACTTGACGAGTTCCCTCCCCGACCTTTGTCTCCAACATTTGACAGTCGCCAAGCCCACCGTGCGTTATAATGAAACCTATAAATTTCTTGCAAGACTTGGGATCGTGCACAAAAGCCTTTATGCAAATGTTCTGTTTTAATTATTACAGAAATTATGTCATTTTCTCCTCCATCTTTCATAGCCTGTAATCTCCTAAACCCTTTATTAAGTCCTGTGAGAATGTTAGAAGTGGCTGCAGTGGGAGCCAGGAGCCACTGCTAACAGGGAGATTTTTCATGGTGTTCACGAGGGTGGGAGTTCGATGAGGAGAACCAGGCTCCAGCAGCAGGCCCCTCCTCCCGCCTCCCTGCTTACTGTCACTCACAGACCAGTTCTCTGTCAGACCAGTGACCCAGCGTGCCTCTTCCAGCATGGACTGGAAATACGAAAAGAAACGTCTAGCTACCTCCACTCTGCAAGTATTCGTAACATTTTACGGAGACCTAAAATGTAGGGACCTTCCCTTGAACTTGAGAAGGTGACATTCCTTCTAGACTATTCTTGATACAAAGTTTTTTAATTTGCTGCATCCCACCTGGTAAAATGGACTTTTTCCCATCAGGCCACTCCATGGGTAAAGTCTAGCATTTATTTGAGACAAGGATCTTTTTAGGTAGAAAGCCCCAAAACTAAATTTCCTCTTTCCTAAACAAGCTGTTATTGTTCAGAATTAGAAGAAAATACATTTGGAGAGACGGAGTGGTTCAGTAGAAAAGGAGTGAGGATGGCACAAAGTTTTCAAGCTTTGGCATTTCTAAAAAAATGTCCCATCCAGTTTTTATAAAAACCATGAGACCATTTCAAGAGTTTTCACCCATAATTAGATTTTCTGTTCATCTCGGCCCTAGTCATTTCTTCTGGATGCGTTTTCCTGGTCTTGGTGCTTCAGAATTACCTTCTGTCTAACAAGGGCACCTGGGAGCAAGCATTTGGCAAGTGATAGGGTTTGTGGTCAGTAACATTTTAGCGAATCTAGCGGTAAATGTTTGTATAAAACTGCCACCGTAGTTCATCGAATCTGAGGTCCCATGAAAGCGCAGGCTCGTAAAAATTTAGAGCTGAATTCCACTTAATTGACAACTTGTCAGCTTTGAGATAGGAGAGATTATGAGTTTAGAGGGAGGGTCCAGGGAAGACGCTTATGGCTTGAAAAAGGTTTGGGAGTTTGGTGACAAGGATGAGGTAAGAAACAGTTGCTATTTTCCCTTCGCTCTTCCAGACTTCTCTTTTCAGAGGCCTTAAGTTTTTGGCTGCAGTGATAATCCTTTTATCTGAATTCTGCATGGAGGTTGAAACAGTCCCCATCTGTCACTCAAAGTCACTGGCATTGTCCAATTAGCAGAATTTGGACCTACTGGGGAAGCCCGATAGGTTGATTGGAGTGCAACACAAAAGGAAGTTTCTGGCAATTACAGTTGCCCAGCACCGGCTCAGGCTGCCCAGAGAGAACAATGAGCTTCCTTTTAAGGCGCCGAATAGAAAGATTCAGGACATATAGGGCGCTGACTATGTAACAGGAGGAGAGGCTCCTGGTCCTGAGACGGGGCAGTAACTGGCATGGAGCTGTGAGGTTTCTCGGGGCCCCTGGGCCTGATGGCAGAGAGAATGGAGGCTGTGATCAGCGGCTTCTGAAGTGCCCGTCTCTTCAGCCTCAGCTATATATCTAGCGGTCTCAGGTACCATGTCCTTTCCAGACAAGGTGGCCGTGATGGTGTGCTGACATCGACAAGCCCCATCGGATCAGTAGCGTGGAATGTTCCTAACGATGTTCTAGTTACTCCAGAAAACAGTTTTTATTTATTTCCTGTATTAAAAGACAAAACAAACAAAAAAACAAAACCAAAAAAACCCCTTTTTTTCTGAAATACACGTCCATTTTTTTTTGACCAAGTGTTCCTTATTTGTGTGTTTCTGAGGTGACTGGAGCCTTCGAGAAGGGACCAGAGCTGTCTTTCTGAGTGAGCATTTAAGATAGCCTGCTCTCCTAGGTGTGTGGCCTGAGAAAGGGCTAGAAACTCTGCAGGTTGTGGGTCAGAAGGAATCCGGTTATCTGAGGGTTCCAGTTGATTTGGGTCTGGTTAGCTGAAGTTTCTCGTTTTGCTAGAAGCCTCTCCATTTGTTCCCTGTCCTCAGCGGGTAGCTTCCTGAATTATGAAGGGTTAGCCGTCCTTTGAGATTTACACCCCATAGTAGCATGGATGAATGCTTTGGATACATTTTTTTTTTTGTCCTGATGGAACTGAATCTGATTTATGCAGCTAAATAATCATTTCCCTTTTAATATGTTTTCAGGAAGTTACCAAGCAGCTTTCTGCCATGCCTTTTTCGAAAACTATAATCTTCGATCTAAAAAAATTCTTCTGACTCAAAATTTCAGATGGCCTTGTGCCTTTAAGCATGGTTTTAGCACTGCCCTTGACATAGGCTGACACATATTGGGTATAATTTTTGTGTGTAACTTACCTTAATTCTCACTCCATAGATATCACCTTTTGTCGCATTCTTTCTTTGACTCTTTTTTTTCTGTAATATGGAAAGTGCTCATTTTTAATGTGTGGTATTTAAATATTACCATCGAAAATACTTTTTTTGTTGTTTGGGGTTAGACTTTATCTCAGAATCACTTGAGAGCAACTCAGCATGTGTTCCAGCTGCAGGTGGGTGTACCTGTTTTTGTGGAAGGCAGGCTTATTGAACACCTCTAGGAGTCAACACTAGACAGAGAGTTGGGGGCTGGAGAGACGTCCCCACCCTCTGGAAGTTCCAGGCTAGTGCATGGGGTCAGAGGCACAGAGCAGAGACAGCCTCGTTGGCAGGTAAGGGGACAAGCAGGAAGGTAGAGAGGTGGCGTGGGGCTGACCCAGTAGCCCCCATCTCCAAATGATGTCTCTGGAGCCCTCTCCCTGCTGCTTGGTGTCAGCCGATGGCCTTGGGGTTTCTGGAGTTGGCCACAACCCACCTGGGGAAGTCAGAGGGTTGCAGGTGGAAAAGCTTTGTCTCCCTCCTTTTGTTACCTAATCGTGCAGAGTCATGAGCCTTATTTCTCATGTTTACCTCTCGTGTTGTTATTAATTGAAATTTAAAAATTAATTATGGTACAGCCTTCTGTGTCAATCTGTAACTGCAGGTTTATCAGCGACTTCCTTCGAGAGAGAGACTTGGAACATTTTAATATGTTAACCCTTAAGCCTGACATTTAAATAGTTGAGTCTATCATTTTTCACCAGATGCTGCAAAGCTAATATTATAAACCTAATAAACAGACTCACAGAGGTCCAGACTAGGATATCATTTGCTTTGATACTAAAATTTTAAATTCCTTAATTTTTTTTTTTTTCCCGTTTCCACCCCAGCTAAACTCTGTGTCCTCGGTTTTCCTGGTTACTTTTCAAGGTACAAGAAATTACACTTGAAAGGTTTTCTTGGTAAAGCATCTTAATTGGCTTCTTATAGGAATGTGTTCTTCATCTGTTTTTTTTTTTTTTAAAAAACCTCCCGCATTCTCCAGGGGTGGCGATTACTAGCTGGAGAGGTTTCCGTTTAGATGGGAACGAAAGGGTATTAGTGAGTCAGGGAAGGCAGCGTGGGTGTGGGTTTAAGCGCCTCCATGTAAATTCGCTGGCAAGCCGTGGACCGTTTAACTCGTGAAAGAAAGGGAGGACCGCTGCTCGAATACCAGTTTGACTTTATCGTTTTCCTTTTTGTGGCAATTGTGTATCCTGCACTTTCTCACCGTCTGCCCCCCGCCAGTGGATGCTCTCGGTAAGTGTGCCATCCCGACTCTCTGGTGGCGGGTCCCGGTGTGGTCCTTGCCGTGGGCTTTCTGTGGTTGTCCAGACCTTTGCTAGTGGCCCAGGTTCTCCTGCCAGCTCAGAACAATCAATGGTGCCTACTTAATTTTCCATAATTTTCAGAAAATTGTGTGTGCGTGTTATTTCAATCATTTTCTCGCTTCAATGTTTGGCCGGCCCTTCAACGGGTTAACACAACATTCTAAGAGCCTTTGCATCATCATAATTCAGTATTAGACCCATGGGAAGAAGAAATACAGAGTGATTTAAACCCTCCTTTCCACAGGAAATAAAATATGTTTATAAATACATATATATCTAAGTGTATATATATGTCTATGTGTATTTATATCACAATCAGATCATGTGGAGCTACAGTAAATAACCCCTTAAAATAATTCCCAAGTCAGATTTGGTTTTATTAAGCTTGCAAAATATCCTTAAGTGTGTGCCCCGCCCCTCCCCTTCCCCCTCCCCCCAGGACCATTGAGTTCTTTTCAAAACCGAGAATCCATTTAAAAAAAAATCCAAGTATTTCTTTTTTCAGCAGAGTTTATGAAATGGTTCATTTCAAAGGTATCAGAGCTTCAAATTCAATAATCAGAATGATTCTTCTTGACCGAATGTTGAACCTCATTCTGTGGCTGATTTTGCTACTAAACCTTCAAGCCACGTTTGGCGTCTCGTGGCTGTCGCTGTCCTGCAAAGGCCTGTCCGCGATGCGCCCGTGTGGTTTCCTCTGAGCATTGGTACTGCACAGCTCCAAAGTGCCATTTGAACTGGATTCTGTCATCTGCCAGCCACGCAGGTCGCAGGCCTTCCCCGACAGGTGGGGCCAGGATGGCCGCTGTTGCGTGGGACATGGCTCTGCCTCGGCTTCCCCTCGTGATGACATTGGGCTAGTTGTTCCCCAGCTTTAGAAATGACGACTCTTTTCAGTCCTCGATGTCGTGACTGTGAAACAGCT